TAAGCAGCTAGCACTCAACGTCAGAATGTGCCCATCCTACATGCCAGGGGATTTGAATGTTAGCAAAATTCACTGTCTTCACAGGTCTTTTATGACACTGTAGAGTAGCAGTGTGGTAGGAAGCCTTCATGGAAGAACAATCCACAGTGTGTCCATGTGATAACAGCCTGTGTGAGTTGCCCAGTAAAATGTGCTTCGTGGGTATGTCTCACTATTCCACTGGAAATAAAGGAAAGGAATGAAATGAAATGTTTTCTGGTTTGCAGACTGACCAAGTGGCTTCTTTAACTGAGATGGAGAAACTAGGAGAATTGTGATATTTGTGGGGAGGATTCTATAATCAGTTAACTTTTTGATACTTACTTTAAGGCTAAAATAACCATAGATAAACTAGTTGACATCCACATGATGAAAGTGTTGAGAGTATTACTCAGAAACATAAAATGACAACTTGGCAAGGTCATAGAACACTTAACTGCCATAGCTGAGGCTACGATACAGCATAGTCCTCAGTGCAGTTTCTACTGACAGCACAATGCATTTCAGTTTACCGTTTATCTGCCAAGAAAACCTATTAGCTAAAGTGCTTCGAAGCTAACTTCTGGAAAACATCATGGGTTGCCTTTCTTGTGTACACTTATGTTTAATTCAAATAGCAAACTGCCCTTGGAATGTAAATGAGTGTGTTCTTCTCAGGTTAAGTTGTGACAGAGAATAATTTAAACTGTAAGCAGTTTTATTAGTTATTATGCATAGTGTAGAACAGAGATACAGTCTTGTGGGTATTAACATTTTATCTTTTCTCTAAGTGAAAAGAATGACTTGGCATTCTAGAAATCATATGGGATAATGAAACACACCTAGAGTTTGGAGTCAATTAACTGTACCCAGTCTCGGTATCATCTTGGCTATGAAAACCCACTCATGCATTCCACACTGTTGTACCTCAGTTTCCATTCTGTGAATTATGAATAAGAATTAAACAAGATAGCTCCTAAGAGAATGTCTAGAGCATACTGTGCATTCATTATACGTTAGTTTTAGCCAATATTGGAATATAAGGTAGTATGCACTTTATTTCAAATAAGTCTGCTCTTTAAAGAGCCTTAAAATGCCACCTGTGTCATCTCAGGCTTAACTACTCCTACAATCTCTCTTGTACATATCATAATGTAGTTTTTTTAGAAACGTGATTATTCACATTTGAATCATGGAAAGAACTATAAAAATGTAAGCTATGATAGAGAATACTTTTAATGATTGTTCAGTAGAACTTTTCCTTGGGGAAAATTTAATCATTTAAACTTCCCAAGTATTTTAATATCTTTTCATGAAATTCCCTGAATAGCCATATCCCTTGTTAATATAGTAATTTATTCTGAGGTTGATCCTACTGATTAATGTCCCCAGATGTCATTTAACTGAATAGCAACACTGTCAATTATGGAGTTTCTCTTGACCTTTTGACATTTCTATTTTCTATCTAGTGTTGATTAGTAATGTTGGAAAGGCATCCGGTATGCAGAAAGCATTGTACCTGAGTGAACCACTAGGTACAAATTAATGAGTAACTAAGAGTTTCCCCTACTAAACCAGTAGAGCTAGAAGAAATTCTATTTCTGGAAAAATCCAGAACAATTATTCTCTTCATCTAGAGATCTAAGTACAAATATGGAGCTTTCAGGTATATGTGCCCAAATTGTTTATGAAGTTGGCATGGGTGGTGCTCAGGATTAAATATTGTTAATGAATAGGAATTTTGGCAGAGGAGTTGGATTTTCAAAAACACAAAGCCATTTCATAGTGTACGTCACACAATGAGAATACTTGAAAGTGTCTGTCAAAGTAACATATGAATAAGAATAATAAGACATTTAGCAAGTATCATAGAAGTTATTTTATCACCCATTTGTTCACTTATTAATTCATTTTACAAATATTTAAGGACCACTTTTTACCAGTTTCTTTCTAAACACTGAGAATACAAAAAAGAGAAAGAAAAAGAAAAGTTGAGATGCTATTTCTGACCTAATATAGCTTTGACTCTACTAAGAAACATATGTTAATCAAATAATTAGCTAAATCAATATAAAATTAATATTTACTTATAAAGTGGTCAATAAAAAGGACCTTGATGTTACAAAAGCACATTAAAAAGAGTGGGGGGGGTAAATGCTGACAACTGTACTCGACCAACAATAAAATAATTTTTAAAAAGACAAAAAAGCTACATTAAGAAGAAAATGTATAGTCAGGGAGGTCAGGAAGAATTACTTAATGAACTGATAGAGTTTAAATTAAAGACAGAATGGTAATTAAGATGGCAAATGGAGGAAGGAGTGAGAGAGTTATAAGCTGAGAGTGAAGGGCATGTGCTAAGGCCCAATGTCAGAGCCAACAGGAAATGTAAGAGGGAATAAAATAAATGTGGTACTACCTGGAGCACCAAGATTAAGTTGGGAATATGTCTGGAAAAGTATAAATAGTTAGTTAGGTAGAGTCAAACTATCTAGTCTTGTTTTCTAATTTAACACAGTTTCTAAAATTGTAAGGACTGATGAAAATATTTTAAATGAGGGCAATGTAATGGAATCTGAATTTTGATAAAAGGAGTCTACTTGACACATAGAAGATAGCTTAGTTAGGGTAAACTTTGTATACACTGAGATAGACTAAATTATCCCATTAAGTGGGTACAGTATTTCAACTAAAGACTAGGGTAGCTGGAAATGGACAGCTAGTAGAGAAGAAATGCTAATTGATTTAAGGTATATGTAAGTAATAAAAATGTTGAAGAAAGGTTGATGGATTGTTATAAACATGGAAGGAGGCAGAGAGATGTTGAATTTGCCTCCTAGGTTCTCAATTGTAAATAATTGTGATGGTGCTATGCATTGAGAGGAAGTGTTACTAGACCACCAAACTGGAGAAGGGAAAAGAAAGGAGAGGGTTTCAAGGAGAACATGGGGGACAATAAAAACTTCAGTAGCATTCAGTGTCACATAAGTCACTACTGATTTTCAGAAAGTATGTTTTTCGGTAATAAGACAGAAGAAGGGGCAAATGGTGATAAATAAATATGTATAACTACTTTCATCAACTGCTTGAAGAAGCTGGCTGCATAGGTGACCTCAGGCACATGTGTGCTGCATGAGATGCAAAATGGCTTGATTTAGTTTTGCTTATTTTCATCAGTAGAAAAATTTTTCAACACCTAATGTAATACTTTCCAAAGAATAAATATATTAATGGATTTGAGAAATAGGGTAGAAAAGACCCTAGTGAAGTGAAGTCTGGAAAGAAAAGAAGGAAGGAAGGAAGGAAGGAAGGAAGGAAGGAAGGAAGGAAGGAAGGAAGGAAGGAAAGAAGGAAGGAAGGGGGAAGGATAGTGATGTTAGATAAAAAATAACATGTTCAACAGGAAAGAGATGTAGTTAATGCAAGGACATACAGGGTGGGGAGTGACTGCTGTGTCATAATGAGTATGGAAGTGATGGCACTTCAATAGGAAATAACAAGGGGTAGACTTTTTTCTTTGCTGTACCAGGCACTTGGCAGGTTACAAAGCAGTGGGTAGGAAATATTGAACACAGGAAGAACAGAATGAACAGAATTTGTAGGTAGAGAACCCCAATCACAGAAGTGGAGATTGGCCTTAGATTGCAGAAGGAACATGAGTCTTTATAAAGTTGTTGGAAGATACAAAGTAAATGTATGTGAAAGGATAGCTTTCATATACAATATTATATACATGAAATACACATACACTTGTATACTCGTATATCCATATACACATCTGCCTATATGCTAATGACATACATATACACTAAAAATAGTACGCGTAACTTTCTGCTGTTCCTTTGACTATTGCTAGTTGTACCATTTTACCATGTCACTTTACTCATAAAAATTACTCACAATTACAAAGTGAGAAAAACAGGGCTTCTTCCAAGTACTAAAATACTATGAGGACAACACTAAATCAGGGTGATGGCTACTATTAGTACCATGGCACATGAAGGAAACAGACCTTTGGATATAGGTGCTTTCCTAGTATCTCTGAATGTTTTTTGTTTTTTTTTTAATGCTAGGATATAATGGCTTTTTCTTAGTAAACTCTATTATGTTAGGAGACACAATTTATTTAGCTTTTAGATGGCCCAGAGCTAATTGACTCTAATCCAGCTTTGGTGAAACCTACATAATTATTAAAAAGCATGTTGAATGCTTTTCTTATAATCACTAGATAATCTGCATTTTTGAAAAGCAGTTCTATGCCTGAAATCTTATGTCATTTAAGTTTTATAATCATCAGTTCCTAGCCATTCTTTCTTCAGCCATTATGGAGATGCTCCGGAGATGCATTTTAGAGCAATCGTGGGTGGTTACAAAAGATCAGTGTTACTGCATTTCTTTTCTGAGGATAAAAATAGTAAGTAACATGAGAAGGAGCACACTGCAGTGTAAAGACCACTGAATGTGCACATCAATCAACTCATAAATGCTAGCTCTCTCTGTCTAAATAGTTATATTATTTTAATTCTTTTTTGTAAATTTTAAAGAAAAATATTGATATTGTTACTTGCAGCATTGTTGTATAGTTTTCATTTCACAATATTGCTTCTTTAATGCCACGTATTTAACCTTTCAAAGGGCAGGAGGGTCAACTTTGAAGTCCATGCTCTATAGCTAGATTATTCCATATTCTTTCTAATGTAGCAGATAAACAACTGTCCAGTTCCTTTCCCCATCTTTGAGTCAACAGAATTGTACTTACAACAATGCAATTGACTCAATCTTCTTTGAAGCTTCAACTCTCACCTCCCGGATGAGTTTTAATCATTTTGTGGTAGCTTTCTGAAGTGTAATAAATAAGATCAGCTTTCCTAATCTCAATTTTCTAGCCTGCTTTTTTACAATTATCTTGTAATTTAAGTAATATTGATAAACTTACAGAAACTTTTGTCAGTGCTTGTTGTTATTATTATTATCATTGATTATTTTAAATGAAACACTTTGTGAGTTTGCACATCATTTTGGGGCAGGGGCTATGCTAATCTTCTCTGTATTGTTCGCATTTTATAATACTCCTGAAGCCAGCACAACTAATGACTATTGAAGTTGTTAATATTGCAAAAAGTAATTGCAAAGTAGATAGAAAATCAGGCACTAGAGAAGTTTAAACTTAGTTAAAATTAGGATGACTTAAAAGAATCAGGTACTACACAAAATTGTGAGTGAAATGATGTAAAGAGTACTTTTCTTACAAACTCTTCTAATCAATATGGTGAGATGAAACGGACTTTTTATTTGTTTCTAAACACATACATACACTAAACTGATAATTTTAGAGCTAGATTTTCCTTTCAACACTGAAATTTTAAACAACACATATTTAAATAATTTTCTTAAAGGCATTGCATGGAGCATGATTTACAATTCCTAATAAGCAAAAAGGGTAGAAAATAAAATATTCTTTTGATTTTCTTTTCTATATTTACTGTTATTAAATGTTTCAAGCTAATATTTCTTCTTCAAAGCAAGTTTTCTCGTTGGCATGCAGCTATGTGTTTAATCCCTTCAAAAAGAGCAAGACTTTTATAATCAGTTTTGCTTGTGTTTTTTAATGTACTCTTTTTAAAAGAAAGTTTTTACCTAATTGCATGTTAATATTTAAATAATATAAGCCCTGATGAATTTAGAGGCAAGTTTTAGCATGTTAGAGCTTTTGGAACTGTGGGGAATGCATACTATAACTATAATAGTTTAATAAAATATTATGTACTGTTGCATGTTTTTTGTCTTTAGTTACAGATTGAGGATGATAATGAACAATAAACTCTGATAAAATTTTTTAATCTTTAATTGTATATACTATTCAACACTATTTAAAAAGAAGAGTTTATTATAATACTTCTAGGTAAAGAAAGAAATCTATCAATGTTCTTTTGAATAATAAATGCAATAATCACATATTTAATACAAGTAAAATATACATATTAGTGTTGTTTTACTTGTAAAAATGAAAGTTCTTAAAAATCTTTTCTTCTGAAAAAAGTGTTAGGAGGTAGATTCTCTCTACCTTTCATTCTCTACCAAGACAAAACATGAAAAAAAGATATATATGCAGAGACACATTTTTTGCCTCTAACATTAATCTATCGCCATGTTTAGATGACTAGTATAACTTCTGCATCCATCTCTTCCTTGTTATCAGTGAAATTCATCTTTTTCAGAGTATTGTGAATCATTCCTTCAATTCACCTGATTCTAAAGAAACAAATGGTAAAAATAGATTCTCCTCTTTCAATCATTAGTTACTGGTACACAGAGTATCTGTTGATCTACTCGTATACACTGTAATTCTCATAGAAAAAAATAAAAAACAATAAAAAATAACAGAGAAGGAGACAAGAATCTTAAATTTAATTTACCTTTAAAATATTTTTAGTGGAAAAAGTAAATTGCATTTTACTGGTAAACAGGAAATCCGGACTAATGGAGAATAAAACTAGGATTAGACTAAACAGGGTGTTAACAATGACATCTCATTAAATCTTCTTAGGTAGAATACGTGATTTTCCTATAATAATTCACCTAGTTTTATACCTAATAATTTATTAAAATAAATATATTACCCAAGTATGTTTTAAATATCACATGAAGTTGAATATACATAAAATATTAATGATTATAAGGTTTCAGTAGAGTCATTTAAAAATTTCAACTTTGGGTTACATAAATTACTAACTTTTAAACTTAAAATTTAACATTATTTTATGTCATTCTCACGAATATCTATTTTTATGATTTATTTACAAAAATATGTTAGCTGTGTACATGAAAGAAGGGATGTCAGTGAAAATGTTAAAGATATCTGAAAATGCTCTTCTATAACAACATTAGGAGAAGTAGCAAAAGTGATCAGAGCACTTTTCCAAAATTCTGGAAATTAACCAAGTTTTCATCAACTGTGGAAAGTTTACTTAAAAATATATCTGAATCTCAGTATTAATGACACACTGTGTGGAGTTTCACTTGTTCTGTTCCCAAACCCAAAGACCCAGCTCTGTAGCCGACTTGAAAACTAACATCCTGGTAGCTACTGAAGGAGGAAGAGCAGTGTGTGACCTCCTCCAAAGCCCCATTCCAGAGAACTATCATGATTTTATCTTTTGTGCCTCCATGGAAGCGTGAAGAGCAGGACGGATAAGATGACATTGGTCCTGTCAAGGTAACACAAATTATATAAAACAAAGTTGAGTCACTTATGTGAACTAAAATGGCTGTCAGTCAGCCATAACACTGGTTCAAGAGGAAAATTATGTAAGTCAGAGCAGACATGTTTGGCAACGAGACGCACATAAGATTTCTGCACACGTGGTCACAGTAGCCAGGTCTGCAGAGCGGGACCAACCATTGATAAGCTCCTGGAGAAGTTCCACACTTGCCAGCAGGAGTGTCAGGCAGAAGAGCCATGTACCACTCATAAACTCCTGGGCAAATTCCCCACTTGGCACCAGGGTTGCCAAGGCATTTATGAAAAGGACCCAAAAGGGTGGGATATACCACTTTCAAGATATAACCGAGACAGGCTCCACACCACTGCTGAGACAACTGAGCTTCACACACCAGAGTGCTGCTCCATGCCACCCTGATCTCTTTTGGCATCGGCCACCAGAGGCTCTACCCTGCTGAACTGAGGACTTTGTCTGCCCTTCTGCCTACCTGGCTATGAAGAGCCTTCCTTGCAAGATGCTGACAACTTCCTCACCGGCTGTGCTATCTTCCAGACCTGCAGCCTGGGACTCTGGGACTCGGATTCATTATCCCCCATCAATTGCTCTATATGTGTGTTATATTTCTCTTAGATTGTTAGAGTATAAATAGTGTATTAATGTATATTTTTAAAATATATTTTATTAATTATGCCATTACAGTCGTTCTATTTCCCCCCTTCATTCCCCTCCACCCTGAACACCCCCTCCCTCACCATTCCCCCCTTTAGTTTATGACCACGTGTCTCAAGTTCTTTAGATTCTATAGTTCCCCTATTATTCTTGCCCTCCCCCTATCTATTTTCTACCTACCATCTATGCTACTTATTTTCTGTACCTTCTCCCCCCTTCTCCTCCGCCCACCCCCCTGTTGCTAACCCTCCATGAGATCTTCATTTCTATGTTTTTGCTTCTGCTATCCTTTTAGTTTGCTTTTGTTTTAGGTGTGGTTGTTAGTAACTGAGTTTGCTGTCCTTTCACTGTTCATCTTTTTTATCTTCTTTTTCTTAGGTAAGTCCCTTTAACATTTCATATAATAAGGGCTTGGTGATGACGAACTCCTTGAACTTGATCTTATCTGAGAAGCACTTTATCTGTCCTTCCATTCTAAATGAAAGCTTTGCTGGATAGAGCAGTCTGGTTGTAGGTCTTTGGATTTCATGACTTGGAATACTTCTTTCCAGCCCCTTCTTGCATGTAAGGTCTCTTTTGAGAAATCAGCTGACAGTCTGATGGGTATTAATGTATATTAATGTTCTATTTTGAGTGAACCTTCATTCAGTGAAAGTTGACTGAATAGCAGAGTTACCTTGTGTGACTCTTATCTATTCCCTGGTGTCAGGCTGCTCAACAGGCAGCTAGCTGAGCAGGTGCCCAGCTGACTTATAGGAAAGGCTACATCACAAACACACTTGTGGCAAGTGTGTTTGTGATATAGATCCTAATTACAAGGCTGTCTTTATTTATGCTGAATTGAATATTTTCCAGGGCAAGAAGCCTTTCCAGTAGGGGAGTTTTAAAAAATGAATATAATTTCTTAAAAGAAATTTTTTTAAATCACGGATTTCTGAGTTGTCAAGTTACAGATAGAGCAAAATATAAGCTAAAGAAAGGAAAAACTGGGGGATGAGATGTACATGGAAATTTAGATAAACTGTGTCATATTCCTGAGAGTCTAGAAGTTTATGCACATGTAAAAAGCTGAGCACAGAAGCAGAAAAAAACTTACAAGGTCTCATCTCTGGCTGACCTGGGCATACTGTGCAAACAGGAAGAAATGGCTGGATGTAATTCCCAGCCACATGGTTGAAAGTTGAAGGCATGTCCTAACACCCACGCAGAGCTCTCACAGGAGATCAAGACACTTATTTGTTCCAGACATTTAATGAAATATCTATCCAACTGTTAATAGACCAATGACTAAATCTAGCAGATACATCAGCAGCCATAAACCATGAGGAGTAAAGACTTTACAGAATTCTCAGAGGATGGTCATAGTTCTACATCTTTAAAATTATTTGATATGCCATTGTCTCTAAAAAGTTTGATTTTTTTATTTACTATCTTGGTGGAGTAAAAAATAGTTTTAAGTTCCTCCCTTTGGATTTTCCTATCATGATAAATTTCACTCTACAGATAAAAAGATAAATGCTATATCCTTGCCAATTGCTAAGCATGTTCATTTTAATTGTATGTTCATAAATTGGGGGGAATAACCAATAGAGCCACAGAGCATCACCCAGACCAAGGAATCACCCCCTTGCCCAACTCCCATGTGATGACTGGGAAATATGCGGTTCTTGTGAACTGAGTTGTGTTCCCTCAAAATTCATATGTCAAAGCCCTAACTTTCAAAGTGGCTGTATTTGAATAAAAAGGTTTTTAAAAAGGTGATTAAGGTTCAATGAGATAATAAATAGGAGGCCTTAGTCGACTAGAACTAGTGTCCTTAGAAGAGAGAGAGACAACCAGGGATGGGTGTGCACAGAGGATGTAATGAGGTAGCCCTCTGAGAGCCAGAAATGTCTCAGGATAAGGACACCTTCCAGCATCTTGATTTTGCATCTAAAACCTTCACAGGCAAGAAAACAGATTTCTGTTGCGAAGCTGCCGAATGTGTCATATTTTGTTATGGCAGTCCTCACTGACACTAAACACAATACCCTGTGGTCTAGCCCCACATTTGGAACATATTGAAGGCTCATTTCAGCTTCAGAGCTCCGGACAGGGTAAGTTGAGGACATACTTACGACTGCACTCCTGCCTAATTCCTCCTTCCGCTAAGTTTAGCTGTCTTTCCTTCTCTCTGCCCCGTGTTTGTTGAT